CCCAGAGAGTTATCAAAACTGGACATATGAAAAACCGAACAACGATACCTCCTCATACGGCAAATATCTGTCAGTTGTCAGCTCACAGCAAACTTCAGCGGCTGCTAACAATCTGGAAAGCAAGGAGGCAAAAGCTCCTAGCTGGGGAGGTGCTTTGGCAGCTCAAAACGTGAGAAATGAGAGCACTCAGAATGTCATCGGCATGCAGCAGTACAACACAACTTCGCAAGAAAAGCAGTTGCCTTTCGGATACCGCGGAATTTTGGAGCAAGGTAATTTGACTAGTAATGACAATTTACTTTTACTTTCCAACCACCAACGACGTAGACCAAATTTCTTCATGAGAGCAAGGAATTTAATTGGGTGCGATTTCAAGTTCTTTTAATAGTATTTTGAAAAAAAAATTATTCCTGATCGACTAATTAACTTTAATTAGTGCGCATTCATCGAGTAGGCGACAGGCGCTCACCGTAGGCATGTGCTTAGGTTCAAATGGCTTAGTATATATACCTGGGAACCACAATGGTTCATCAATCCAAGTAACCCAAAGCAAATGCTCAAGTGTTGTATCCAGTAACGGCAGCCACCTGGAATGGTCAGTGGGCGTTGATGGGAAATGTGCATGACTCGAGCATTACACAAGCAACACTGGGTGCTTACTTGGATCAACTGCCGTTACACGAATCCTGACGACATGTTACTTGTATTCTGATTCTTTGGTACAGCAGCGCGTGGCTTGTGGAAGTATGCTAGTATCCTTGTTAGTATAAGATACCTTGATTTTTAGTTCTTATAATGGAAAATATTCATTCGCATAAGAAATTGATATCAAAGCTGAAAACACTGTGCTAAAATAATGTTGGCGTTTCAGAAGAATTTATGTTCTACCAAATTCCAATATCTAATAGTTGTTAGATACGGGTATGTGGTAAAATATAAATCATCTTTCCGTCTCTGTTCCCTCCATCTTCCGCTCACACTTCGTGCTTTTTTGCAGCTAATTTAAATGACAATCAACTTTCCTGCTTCTGGCTTTATTTGTTCGTGAAATTCAGGAATTGAAGGCATGACAGCCGCAAGCACTCTTTCCACCACGACGCTGTCCGGAGAGCAACAAGCCTGTGCTCGTTACGAATACGACGAAGCGCATAAGCTCGTTCCAGACCCCATGTGCAGTTGCCCAGCTGGAGAAATGCCTGATCCGGAAAATGTAGACGAATGTCAAGATGAGTATTTAATTTTCATTTATTTCTACCAGCACAGTTTTTTCGGAAGAGTGATAGTATTTCCTTAAAAGTAATTGGGGATGATGGTTGAAAGCGGTTGTAAATCGTTCAGACCCTGGAGGAAGTTAACTTTAAGAGTTTTTTTTCTTCCGCAAGTTTATGCATCTTCGTAAGCCATGAGATACTGCGTCAGATTCTGAATCACTGCCAGCTGTCAGAAGGCTACGGAAGAATGCTTATGATGAGTTATGCCAGAGTACCACGATGCTGATTTCAGTTATTTTCAGTGACGACAGTGTCTACGTTTGGTGTGGTTGTTGACGAAATGTGCGGGGGTATGGTGACAGATCCGCAGGAGCGAGCTCGTCTTGCTGTTTTGGTGGTCAGTCTCTCTTTTTTTCCACTTGCCTTGATTTTGATTCACTTATAAAATATCACGCCGAAAAAAAACGAAATGCAGTAAATCACAATAACGTCAAAATCGCGTCGTCCAAATCGTATTTGAAGCAAACTGTCGAACAAGACCTCGCCAGTGACAATTAAATTGTAGAAAACACAGTGGGGTTTGAACTGTCGCCCGTGATCGAAATAAGCGATTTTTTTTAGCTACGCCGTACTGGGCTTCCTTACCAAGTTTGTGTTCGACGTGATGGCGATCCAGTGCTCGTCCAACTTGACTGTTCCTATTGTACTGTGACACAGATTGCAGAAGCTTTTGAACGAAATGCCCAGGACCGATATGTACCACTGAATGTGTTTGGTAAGTTATCATTGGAAAACAGATTCATTTCACGCTAGCTCATAAATGACAAACAGTAATTATCCGTACCGAAAATTAACTTCCTCTTCTCTCTCTCTCCCTCTCTATTTTTTCGCATATCCGTCTTGCAAATTCGTCACATGACTGTTCAATGCATGGCGGGCAGGAAGCTATACTGATGATTCTCCTCCTTATCAGCACCTAAATTTCGATCTGTGTTTACAACTAATAGATGAAACACAAACTGCAAACTTACGTGTACATTACAATATGTAATTTTCCAACAATTTTATTGGACATATATTATATTACTCACAGAATAACTGCTCCAAGTTTGTAGAGCTCGCACTTGGTGCTTGCTTGGCACCATCACTCAATGACTGTGATCCGGAGCACGCCGATTGTCTGGTCGATGGCCCTAGATATCGATGCCAGTGTCACAAGGGTTGGAATGATACTTCACTGGATATTGGCAAAGCAGAGGGGCGACGATGCGAGCAGCTGGCACTACTCAAAGCCGATGGGTAAAAAAATTGTCGATTATTTATCAGATTATCAGCTGTTGTTTTTTCCAAGCTCTACGCATTTCCTTATCAAATAACTTGTATTACAAACTCACCAAGAACTTATTCTTAGGTGCATACCATTCCTCGGTATTTGTTTGCTGTGGTGGTTTCTTCTGCTTGGCATTATTCTCTTCCTGATACTGCCGTTACTCTGCTTCGTCAGCTACATCCTCCTAAAGTGGTGTCTAGGGACGAGAGTTGCTAACGTTGTCGATGAGCAGGTTGGTTTGCTTGCCACTTGTTATTCATTTGTTAATTTTTCATGCTAATTTTCTTTAATTTTCCATGCACGAGCTTGTGTTTTTACAAAGTTTTACCCAGTGAGCGCTTATCGTTAAAAATATAAATCATTTCACTATTTGATATCTGCATTCATTTTGAAATTGTACTGATCGGCCTTTTTTTTTTCAAGGCTTGGAATGAGTTTCTGATTGGAAAAGGCGCAGATGTGATTACGTATTTAAATTAAAGCATTTGTTGTTTACTTTGATATATGCAACTTAGAGCTGAAGCTGCGCCCGAAATACAGGTGCATCTCAGTAACATCACTGGCATGGGATATCAGCATGGATTGTTGGATCGATATTAGTATTCTTAGTTGTGCCTCGATTAGCCAATTCATGCTTTCTTATGGATCTTCTGTATATGTTGTTTACTTGGGTATGTTCAACTTAGGGCTGAAGCTACCTCCGACGTGTGATTGCATCTAAGCAATATTACTAAGATTGGATCCGTACACTGGTTTTCCAGTGTACGACTGTTTTTCCAGGCAGTCGTGGTTGCTATTAGCTTATATTTTTCAACGTCTCACTCCCCCCACGTTCCCATTCTGGAATGATTCATTAAATTTTGATTTATTTAGTTTTTTTAAGTTGTTTGATAAGCATTCGTTTATAGGGCCGGCTAATTACCTCGGAAGCTTCGACGACTGCAAATAATCCGACAACAGTCGCTTCCGAAACGAACAACTTGCACAGCAGTCGGACGTCAATTCGTAGTAGTAATGTAGATGAGGAATTACCCGGTACTGTAACAAAACATATTTCCGAACCCGCTGAAAAAGGGAGTGCTGCTGATCAACAGAAAATGCTTCTCAAGCAGTCCACGGTTAAGTCGCTGGATACATGGCGCAGGACTGCTGACGCAGTGACCAATGAAACAAGAAAGCCGAAAACGCGATCTGTGAAATCGGAGCAGGATACTGCTGAGACAGAACGTTCGTTTTGAACAGGATAAGATTTCTGAGCCAATCAATTTGTACGCGTACCGTTATCTCATGGAGCGCATTTTAGATGACCTATTTGATAAATTTCTAACAAAATTTCTGAAATCTGCAGTCAAAAAGTTATCACCCCTCCCTTCACAGAAGACACTGAAACTGCAAAGTGCTAACAGCAATCATCCTCTGACAATGCTTTCAATGCTATCTTCTCAGAAATTTGCATAGGACCAAGATTATTATGGTTCTGACTTGTTGGCATGCACTAGTGGCAGCTTAATATCGAAACAGATCAACAATTTACGGTGGGACAGTTCCTACAACGATAAAAATAGCGAACATAGGATGAGATTCAGTCTGAGGCAAATTTCATAAGTCATCAACCAAACAAGACGCAAACTTGAAATGTTTTATGGAAAAAGTCCTCGACCTCATGCGAAGCCTCGGATTTATCGGTTGCTACCTGATCTTAACTTACTTTTATATGATTTATACAAAAGCAAAAATCGTAAATATCTTTTCCTAGTTTCTCCCAGCTACTGCTAGATTACGGGTTAAAAGCGCAGGCTGAAACTGAGGCATTCAATGGCTGCAATGGCTTGAAGAGTGTACATTTGCAGAAGAACGTCAGGAGCGTGCTCGCAAACTAGCCAAGATGTTTGGCATTCAAACTGAGTCAAATGTGCCTTCACAAAAAGCACCCAGTGAAGCTGTTGAAATTCCGTCCAATCAGAAACCCGAAGTTCCAGCGCAATCATCGAAAAACAAGGATGTTGTAGCAGCAGCAGCATCAGCGACAGTAATGAACGCTGTGCTAGCCAATCCGGCGAAGCAGGGCGAAAAAAAAGC